AGTCGCGTCACATCCGTCTTCTTCTTATTACACTGTGTTACTTTTTCTCTTTCTCCACCGTTTATTACTGCCGTTCCGATCGGCCAATAAATCTGTTATTATTTTGTTATTATTAATCAGTGGAGTACGAATTCTTTTGCCCGCCCCGCGCCATCCCATCGCCCTTTTTCCTCGCCCTGCCCCTCTGCCGTTAGGCGGAGCCGGCCGGCCCTCGTGCGATCGACTTCGGGAGCGGCGTTTACGGGTCAAGTGTCGTTGCGTGTAAGAATTTCGGTAATCGTTAAGTTTCGCGAGTGACGTGACCGAGAACACGTCTGGCGCCCAGCTTTTCGCGTTGCCGCTCTTCGTCGGACGCAGGAGGGACCCATCCCGGAGGACGGTCACCTTCCCTCCGCGGAATCGCACGCGATTTCCACAAGCTTGTTTGATCCGTGCTCGTGTGAGTTACTCAACTCGCGGGAGCACGTGACAATATATATATATACAGATTAATATAAAAAGTAATTTACGGTAGAGTGTTGAACTATAGAAGATGCATATATAATAATGTTATCTCAAAATAAAAATTGTTCTTTTAATATAGATTGTTATTTTTAATGAAAAAGGGAATAAATATTGAAAATCGTACATAATATCATGCGTTATTTTATGGCCGTTTGTGTCAACAGTAACTTTCAATGAATAGTAACAGTAACTTGCTGTGAAGGCCATCACAAGTAAAAAAGTTTTAGTCATAATCATAAGGCCGTAAGTATATTGACCAATCATAGTCGATAATTTTAAAACGTAAGACCGCAATTTTGATTGTGATTGATCGATTTGCTTACAGTCTTACGGTTATAACTAAAATTTTTTACGTATGATGATCTTGAGACTACGATTTTCTTATAACGCGCTTTTTAAAACATATTTTGAGCGCTTAAAGTGCTATAAAACTGCTTTTTTCCAGCGGTGGTCGTACGCGCTTGTAACGCGCTTATAATGCGCTTTTTTTAAACAGATTTTCAATGCGCTTAGAGTGCTATAAAACTGCTTTTCTCTAGCGCTAGTCGTACGCGCTTATAAAGCGCTTTTTTTAGTGGATTTTACATGCGCTTTTAAAGCGCTAACACGCTAAAAAAGCGCTTAAAAAGTGCTGAATTCCTGCACCTGCATTAGCGGTTTTTAAGCGCTTTTCAGGCGCTGCTGTGCTACGTGGGACGATACGCTGTTTAACGTATCTGGAAGAATTACTGGACCCAATATGTTTGTGCCCATAATTCCAGCCTAGACGTTCAGTTTCCAACGAACTTGATAATTCCTGATTCATGTCACACGAGGATTCTCTTCGTCCCACACATGCATATTGTGCGAGTTAAAAATTCCTTCTCGTGTAAACAACGATTCATCGCTGAATATTACACGAGAAGGAAATTCGGGATCTTTGTCTACTCTTCTTAAGAAATCCTCGCAAAA